CACCTCCACCTTCTCCAGAGTAAACATCTCCTAAAGAAAGTCCTTCAAAGGTCTCTTCTCCTCTCTCCTGGAAGAACCACATTGTCTGGACAACCTGGAATCCTTCCAGAGTCGTGCCAGGAGCCAACAGCACCTTTCCTGCCCTTGGCTCACTGCTCCAAGATCAAGGAGAAGGGGGTGGAGCCTTCCTGAAACCCACAGTGATGCCTCCACCACATGGAGATGGTTGGAGTCCCCCAAACCCACTGATTGTGTCTAAAACTCTACAAATCCATGATGTCCCAGCCCTTCAGGTCCCACAGAAACATCCACACATCCCAGAGGGGAGTGTGGGACATCCTAAAGGCTTGGACTCATCCCACATCCCCACCAAAGCCGGGATGAAGTGGGAAAACCCTCTGGATATGACAAGGCGGCCACAGCATCACCTCCACCTTCTCCAGAGGAAACATCTCCAAAAGAAAGTCCTTCAGAGGACTTTTCTCCTCTCTCCTGGAAGAACCACATTGTCTGGACAACCTGGACTCCTTCCAGAGTCGTGCCAGGAGCCAACAGCACCTTTCCCGNAGAGGACTTTTCTCCTCTCTCCTGGAAGAACCACATTGTCTGGACAACCTGGACTCCTTCCAGAGTCGTGCCAGGAGCCAACAGCACCTTTCCCGTCCTTGGCTCATTGTTCCAGGATCAAGGAGAAGGGGGATGGTGGAGTCTTCCCAAATCCCACGGTGATGCCTCCACCACATGGAGATGGTTGGAGTTTCCCAAACCCATTGATGTTTCTGAGAGTTGTGTCCGTGGCTCAAACTCCACAAATCCGTGGTGTCCCAGCCCTTCAGGTCCCACAGAAACATCCACACACCCCAGAGGTGAGTGTGGGACATCCTAAAGGCTTGGACTCATCCCACATCCCCACCAAAGCCGGGAGGAAGTGGGAAAACCACCTGGATGTGACAAGGCACCCCCACCTTCTCCAAAGGAAACATCTCCTTGTTCTTCTAAACAAAGTCCTTCAAAGGACTTTTCTCCTCTCTCCTGGAGGAACCACATTGTCTGGACAACCCGGACTCCTTCCAGAGTCGTGCCAGGAGCCAACAGCACCTTTCCTGCCCTTGGCTCACTGCTCCAAGATCAAGGAGAAGGGGGATGGTGGAGCCTTCCCGAATCCCACGGTGATGCCTCCACCACATGGAGATGGTTGGAGTTTCCCAAACCCATTGATGTTGCTCAGAGTTGTGTCTATGACTCAAACTGGACAAATCCGTGGTGTCCCAGCCCTTCAGGTCCCACAGAAACATCCCCACACCCCAGAGGTGAGTGTGGGGCATCCCAAAGGCTTGGACTCATCCCACATTCCCACCAAAGCTTGGATGAAGCGGGAAAACCCTCTGGATATGACAAGGCGGTCACAGCATCACCTCCACCTTCTCCAGAGGAAACATCTCCAAAAGAAAGTCCTTCCAAGGACTTTTCTCCTCTCTCCTGGAGGAACCACATTGTCTGGACAACCTGGAATCCTTCCAGAGTCGTGCCAGGAGCCAACAGCACCTTTCCCGCCCTTGGCTCGCCGCTCATTCCAAAGGGAAGGCCATGGAATGTCACCAAAAGGACTCACCCCTGGGGATGTAGATCTTGTANGCTCATTCCAAAGGGAAGGCCATGGAATGTCACCAAAAGGACTCACCCCTGGGGATGTAGATCTTGTAGCCCTCCAGTTTCCCAGGGGGAGGGGTCCAGGCCACCTTCAGGCTGAAAGGTCCTTCTTCCACCACCCGGAAGTTGGTGACGGGGGGAACGGGAGCTTCGGGACACGGGAAGGGAGGGGACATGTCATGCCATGAGGGAGTGCCAGGGGAAAGAGCCTTGGGAAATCTTCAGGGATAGAGGGGCAAAAAGAGGGAGCAGCAGCAGCTCCCCCTCAGCTGTTTCCTTGGAACAGGGGGATCCCCCTCCGACCTTCCAGGCATTGTCAAGAATGATTTTTAAGGTTCCTTTCCTGAAATTTCCTCATTTCCTTTCCTTTCTTGGAATTTCCTTATTTCCTTTCTGTTCCCAAACCTCCCCTTCCCTTCCTTTCTCTTCCGCCTTTCCTTTCCCTTCCCTGTTCTCTTTCCCTT